TGCATTAGTTATGAATAAACACCAATTGTGCCCATGAGGATTTTTTTTTAAAGAAGTCTGATTATCTCCTATTTGAGGAGTGCAAGGTCAGGTTTTAGTGTGAGGGTTAGGTCCACATGAAAGATGATAAGTAGTTCCAAATGTGAAGATCCTATATACAGAATATAAATAGTGTTCAGGATTAGAAATGTTAATTCTATGATGGTTGCAGGTTTATTTCATTTTGTTGGTCCTTAGGACTGAGAAATCCAGTGAATTAAAAAAGTTTCTGTTTCAGTTGCCAACTTTGTTGTTAAAGCATCCTGCAATTATTTCATTTGTAAAGTTTCTCTTTTGATTCCTGTGTTGATGATTTTAGCTAATACACTTTAAACTTTATATATATATGTATATATATACATACACACACACATATATGTGGACATTTGTTATAGTGTCTACGTGTAGCTTAAATAAAAACATTTCAGCTGAAACAGTGTAACATATTTGCATAACTATTAATCCACACCCTAGGGGCCTTTAGTTAACTCCCAAGTAACTTAAGGAGATTCTGTGCTCTAGAGGAGGCTGCCAAATTCCTTAAATACCTTCATCTGTTTCTAAGAGACATTAGAAGTAACTTCTCTTCAGCACAATGGGCAATGGCCAAGCCACATGGCTGGCATGAAATACTGTACGGCCGCCACGCCCCTCGGGGGAACAGGGTCTGAGGATCCGGCAGCCTGGCAGCCCCCCATTCTCCCTGTACCCTGTAGCAAAAGCAACTTGGGGCACTGGGTTGTTCCCGGCCTCTCTGCCTTCATGGGGGCCTCAAATCCCCTGGAGGGAAGAAAGCTTGGGATGGGTCTGCCTTGAGGAAATCATTGCATTTGCCTCGGAGCAAAATTTTCAGCTGGTTTCAAATTGCTTGGGGCCAAAGGGTGGGGAACTCTCTGAACTTACAAAAGTCTGGTATGCTACTGCTGGGTGCTTGATTGTGAGTGCAGGCTTGCATGTTTACCAGAATTGTCTCTGAGCCTCATCTGTGTTGTGACACACTCTCCGGTAATAGAGTTGTGGGAAAGGGGACACCCTTCCACCTGCCTGCTTAGCCTGATTATTGATTTAGACGACGACAAACCTTGACATTGTGAAATGGCCAAATTGCTTTAATTCATTTTGCAACAGCTTCTTAAAAAGTCCTATTCCTCCTCCCCCTCACCCCCACGCACATTGGATGGCTCGGCTTTACCCATTTGCAGAGGACATATCGTCTGTGTACGGTTCTCGATGCCTGTGTGCAGGGTGACTTAATGCCAGTGTTCACAGAATGAGTGAACAGTAGGCTTGGCAGTGTCAGACTAGGGCATCTCTGTGTCTTTAAACACACATGCCACACACCTGAGCACCCCCACGTACTGGGAAGGGACATGGCTACTGAATGGCAGCCAATAAACACAAAGCTCTGTGTTCAGGGAACTTCAACTTTAGCAGGAGGAGGGAGATAAGAAGCAATGGCATATTTTCTTGTTTGTCACTTGGAGCCAGTGCTGCAGAGATAAATAACGCACAGTAGCTTGATGGGGGTTAGGGTGGTGCGTGGGGTGCAATTTAAAATTGGGTGACAAGGTGGCATTAAGCAAAAGCTGGGGGAGGTAAAGTACTGAGCCCTGTCTCTATTCAATCAGGGGGAACTATTTGTGCAAAGGTCCTCGGGTTGGGCTGTGTCTGGTTTGTTCCAGAAACAGCTGTGTAGCCAGTTTCTTGACAGCTGGCAGGTGACGGGGGACTGGGATTAGGGGACAGGCAAGAGAGGTAAGTGCCAGGGCACCTGGCCCTTGAAAGCCTTTGTCAGGACACTGGATTTTCTTTTATGGGACTTGGAAAGCCCTAGAAAGTTTTGAGCAACACAATCTGACTTATATTTTTAAAGGATATACCACAACAGTGATTTTCAACATGCGTGTGGGCCCTCGATCAGAAGAATCAGCTGAACCTGGAACTTTCTTAGAAGGGCATGTTCACAGCCCCGATCCCTCTCTCCCCCAGACCTAGTGAACCAGAACAGCAGTCATCTCTGTCACCAAGCCCTCCAGGGAGGAGAAAAAATGCAGGATGCCCAGTGACATTTGAATAAATTTGATAAACAATGAACACTTTTGTAGCATAACTACGCCCCATGCAATGTTGCACACACACTGAAAAAGTACTTTTCGTTCTTCTGAAATGCAAGTTTAACTAGGTATCCTGTATTTTTCTTTGCTAAACCTGGCAACCCTACCCCCAGGTGATTCTGATGCATACTGAAGTTTGAGAACCACTGTTCTAGAAGCTGCTGCCGACCCACTCGGGTGCCCTTCACCTGGCCAGCGTAGGCATCCCCTGCATCCTGAGAGTGCTGACTGCTGATGCTCTCAGCTGCCACCTTCTCTGGAAGATTGCCCACAGTTGACCAGAACCACACTTGGCCCATAGCAAATGACTGAGAGGGGTTACAAAGGGCCAGGGCTTTTGGCTCAATGGGTGACAGCTCTGTCGTGTGGTTTATTCTCAGAGCCCTCCAGCCTGTGGATCAAGCCAAGGCCAGACTTTACTTGAGACCCTATCCTGGCTCTGATCTTTCTCCTTTCTTATCCTGTTTCCCTCACTCCCTTACAGACTTCTTTCTCTGAGAGAACTCCCGCAGTAAATCATGTGCATGGCGCGAATCTCCAGTTCAGGCTCTGCTCATAGGGAACCTAAGATAAAGGGTCATTGACCTAAGATAAAGGGTCATTCGGTCTGCTGGTCCGAGGATAGACTCTTGAAACAAGTGCACAAGCAGAGAGCTAAGTTAGCATCTTATGGCAAAAATCTAGTGGTCTGGACAGCGTGGTGGCAGTGTAGGTGTCAGGTTTTGGATAAGTTTACAGGTACAGTCAACTGGATTTGCTGGTGAGTTGGATGAGGTGTGAAAGAAGGGAGCTGAGGATGACACTTCCAGGGCTTTGGCTATTTACTCACAAGGGTAAGACTAGGAAAAAAGCAGATTTCTTGGGGAAAGATCCAGACTTTGTTTTTTGACATAGTAAATTTCAAATACCTTTCAACCACGCAAGTAGATGTGTTTGAGAAGTCAGGTTGGTGCACTGCTCTCAAGTCAGGAAAAATGTGAGCACTTTCAGTGTGTAGAGAGTCATTAATGCCATGTGTTGGGTCAGGATCACCCATGAACAGAGTCATGGAGGGACTGCAGATAGAGCAGTCCAAAAACTGCTCCCTGGGTGATTTTTTCTTAAGAATCTGGAAGATAGGAATAGATTAAAAGAAACTGAGGAGGAGCTGACAGTGAGGTAGGAGGAAAACCAGAAAAGTGTGCTATTGTGCTAGAAGGCATGTGAAGACATCTTTGCCCTGATGCAGAGAAAATAGCCTTGGTTAGATGGTTTCTTTATGTATGGAGACGACACATGCTGAAGTCTATACACTCCATCGTACACACTACGATGCTCCCCTTGTCACACACTCACCCACTCACATTCTCATCCACCCCCCAGACTCACCCACCCACCCACACTTGCACACACACTCACACACACTGATGACCGTGCCCATGACCGAGACCACCTCTCAAAGTGGCAGTGGAAGAGGACTTGTAGTAATAGTATGACATGGGGGAGGGGGGAAAAAAGGAAAGTTGGAAGGGGTACATCTAAATGTAAAATAAGAGGAGAGTCTCCAGGTGGAATCTGAGATCAGCTGTCCTATGAAGCTGGACCTGAAAACCTAAGGTGTGAGTGACATAGGAACCCAACCTGGCATACAATGAGCATCGTCACTCCTCTCTACTTTTGCTTGCGATGTTTCCCTTTCTCTTCCTTTGGTAAATGTAAGTCTTCCAAAATATCCCAGCCTGTCTCAGGTGTATCAAGAAACGAAGGAATAAATATTTTATCTTCCGAAGGCCAGAGAATTTTTAGGGGGCAGGATAGGTAAAATAATGCCCCCTCCTCTGGATGTCCATGTCTGGATCCCTGGGACCTGTGACTATGTTACTTCATAGGCAAAAGGAGCTTTACACATGTGATTAAGTCAAGGATCTTCAGATAGGGAGATTATCTGGGTGAGTCCAGGGCAATCACAAGGGTCCTTATAAGAGGAAGGCAGGAGGGTCAGAGTCTGAGAAGAGATGTCATGATGGAAGCAGGGACAGAGGAGGGAGAGGGAGAGATGGACAGGGAGAGAGAGGGGGAGAGGGAGAGAGGGAGAGAATGAGAGAAAGAGGGAGAGAGAGAAAGAGGTTTGAAGATGCTATGCTGCTGGCATTGAAGGTGGAGGAAGGAACACCAAGCCAAGGAATGCAGATGGCCTCTGGGAGCTGAAAATGACAAAGATGTGGATTTTTGGATTTGCCCCCAAAGCCTCTGGAGGGAGGACGGCAGGTGGGTCAGAGTCAGAGAAGTAGAGACAGAAGCAGAGATTAGAGGGACGTGGCCATGGGCCAAGGCATAAGGGCAGCCTCTGGAAGCTGGAAAAGGCCAGGGAACAAATTCTGCCCCAGAGCCTCCGGAAGGAAGGTGCATCTAAGACTTCTGACTCCATGACTGTAAGATAATAAATTTGTATTGTTTTAAGTCGCTAAATTTTGAGCGATTTTTTTTTACAATAGCAATGGAAAACTGATCTAAGAGGAACAAGACCCCCTCAGAGAATCTTTTTGCACACGAGGGAAAGAAGCAGCAAGGGTACAGATTCAGGGGCACCAGGTCTGCATCCTGCCCTGCTCCCTGGGACTTTGTTAGAGGTAAGGGTCTCTGTGCTCTCTTCTGATCGCAGAGGCTCCGCCTTCCACGCACAGAGACAGTCTGCGGTCCTTGCCTGACCCTGAAGCTCTCCTGGACTCGGGTTTCATGGTGTTTGTTTGGGGAGCATGGTCACGATTTGCTCCGCTGTCTTACCAGGTCGAGCTTAGGTCTCCAAAAGGAGACCCTCTGGCGATTGACTATTCCCTCTGATCATAACATAATTTATTTCTGCTTCAGGTGTTACAAAGTTGAACTGCTTCACCTGTGAAGAATTCACGCTTAGAAAAATAGCCAGAATACTAATTATCACCAATTTCTGAGGAAGATTGTCTGCAAAATAACCGAAGAGGACTTTGCCTTCATTAACACATTATTTCCTCAAGTTTCCTGTAGTTCTGTAACACACGCAGGAATGTTTTAAAGGGCAGGCCTGTTTTCTCATCATTATGGGACTACAGCAATAAAGGGCCTTGATTTGGAATCTGCAGAATTAGTACCATGGAAGTCTGGCATAATTGGAAGGAAATGAAGATCTGAGAACCAAGAGGATCTAGGCTAGCATTCTGCATCCTTGAGACTTACTAGTTTTGGGTCTGTGGATGTTTACCTTGCCTAAGCCACACTTTTCTCATCTGTAAACAGAAGAACTAGATCTCAGTGCTGTCTTTCCCCCACTCCCTCCATGTCAGTGATGGGAGCCTGCTGCTCAGTCCTCCCCTTAAGAGAAAAGCTACCATGAGGCGGTCAGCCTCTAGCTTCTGCCCCTTTGGGATCTGCTGTAGTTTTCATGCCAATGCCCTGCTCCCCCAGCTGCTCCCAGTGATGACTGAGCACAGTGAGGATACCAGAGCTGGAATGTTTTTGCTCAATACAGCCTCATCTAATGAGTGGTCTTTGCTGTAGGGTACTGTTTTGGCCTGAATGAGACTTTCCCAGAGCGGCAATGTGGTCTCTTTCTAACCAATCTTTTTTCCTTCTCTCCCTCCTTTCACGGATGTCACACCTGTATTGTAGTGTGAAAGCTCTCCACACCTGCTAACTCCCTCTCCCCGTCATCCTTCACAGACATTTCTCTAGTACATCTCCTGCTTGACTGATTCCTTCATAGTGTTTGCTTCCTAAAGGACCTGGACAGTCACACCCACATATGGAAAAGTGCATACTTCACTAGTGTACAAATCAATGAACTTTCACAAGCTGAATATACCCATGTAAGCAGCACACAGATCAAGAGAAAAACATTACCAGTGCCAGAGAAATCCCCTTGTATCCCCTGACAGACTCTACTTCCACCCAAGGGTAACCACCATCCTGACTTTTAACAGCATAATCTTGATACTAAAACCAAAGAAAGATATTACAAGAAAGGAAAACTAGAGGCCACTGCCTCTCATGAAAATAAGTGCAAAATCCGAAACAAATATGAGCAAACTGAATGCAGCAATATCTCCACTTATAGCCAATAACATATCTGGAAACTTGGCATCTTTTGAAACTCGTCTTCCATTGTAAGTAAAACTTGAAAACTTTGTCATGAACTTCAAGCACTTTCTCACCAAGGATCATTTCTTCCGTTCCTGACTTTTCCATGCCACTCAGCTGGAAATTTGGTTACTAGGTATCCATGATTTTTCTGATAGCTTCTTGACTTGTCAGCTTGGCAAGGCTGAACAAGTTCACCCAGTTACTCAATAAAACATTCATCTAGATGTTGCTGTGAAAAAATTTTGCAGATGTGGTTAAAGTCCATAATTAGTTATTTTAAATTAGGGGGATTATCTCCAGTGGGCCTGACTTAATCAGTTGGAAGATCTTAAGAGGGCTTACGCTTTTCCTGGGGAGAGAGAAAGACTTCTGCCTGGGGACCACATGCCTGTTGGGTTCCAGCCTGCCTGTGGACATCCCTTCCTGATGGCCTGCCCTATAGACTTTAAGCTTACATGGCCGGTTCCTACAATTGTGTGATCCAATTGCTTGTGATAACTTAATCTCCATCTCTCTCTTCCTTCCCAGCCCCCAACTCTCCCTCTCTGTCTCTCCCTCTTTCTGTCTCTCTCTGCCCTCCTTCTACACAAATCCTACTGGTTCTGTTTCTCTGATCGAGCCTGAACTGATACACTGACTCTGTTGCTGTTGCCAAATTAATTATTGTACTTGAAATTTTCCCAAAGCCTTTGAGCAGATACTTTTATTTTAGGCAAAATTATACTCAGAGTTGCTGGTTTAACAATGTGGAGTTGTGGAAAGCACCAGCCGTGGACGCTCCCAGCCAACCAATTTACCAGCTGAATGTATGCTCGTGGGCAAGTCACCGAAATCCCCTGGGTCTGTCTTTCCTGATGGGCAGCACTGGCATTGTGACTGAACTCTTCTCCAGAAGGTCCCTCCAGCCCGACATTCCCTTGCTCAGAGCCTGTGAGAGGACAGGGGTGGGAAAAGAGAGGCAGGTTTGTGATTTCATCTGCTTAGTTCAATGTAGTTCTTTTCTTCAATGACCTCCTCCATTCATCACATCATTTTGGATTTTGGCTTTTTGCTCAAGCGAAAAAAGAAAAAAGAACTCTTGAAAAGGTGAGCATAGCAGGGACCAGCCTGAGGATGGGAACTGCCTGTCACTGGAGGGTGATAAATGGTACATTGAATGTAATCGATGGCAAAGTTATAGATCTTATTATTTCATCCTTTGGATTCACTCCACTTGCTCAGAGTCTCCGGAACATGAAATAATGACTCTTTCACAGTTTAAAAGTCTAACCTTTATTTGGTAAATGAGATTGCATAAAGTATCTTAGGAATAATTTAAGGGACAGAACACAGAAATTTTTGACTAAAGTTGGTGACCCAGGAAGGGACCAAGGTCACCACTCCCCGCTCCAGTCCTGCTTAACTACCTGGATTTCCAGGAACTTGTTTCCCCACCCGGGATTTGGCTCAAGCTGTTCCTTCTGTCAGTGACTTTGACTTTGGGCAAGCAACTTATCTCCCAGCCTCAGATTCGTCCTCTGTAAAATGCCAGGCTTGGATAGACGACTCTAATGGCCCCTTCATTCCAGCTGGGAAACAGTCTGAGCAGGAAATTGGAGTATGAAATTTCGGCATCACCTTCCTTTAAAAAATAGAAAACGGAGTAATGGGAAAACTGCTTTGGCTCATTATTTGAAAATGAGGGCCTGGGAAGATTAATGTGTTTGCCCTAAAGAAAAATACCTTGGATGTAGGGTCTGTAAAGTGTATGTTTTACAAAATTGTGAATTTTTCAAGAGGAGGAAGTTACCTTTTCTTGGGGTGGTTGCTCGATTTGAGGCATAGAAGGTATTTATAGCCCACACCAGCACTAAGAAAAGCCCTGAGACAGAGTGACCAGCAATCCTGCGCGCAGAATCTAAGATGCCTTCCCCTCCACCCAGACTCCCTGCAGTGGCCATCTTGTTCCTTTTCCTTGTCATCTCAGTCACCCTACTTCCCCCTGTATCTCCTCTCCATCCCACAGGAACTCCCTTTGTTCTGTTGGCTCACATGCTTTATTCAGGCCAAGAGCATGCTGTCTTTTGCCAAGAACCGCAGAAGTAATGGCATAGGGAGTGAGTAAAATGCCAGCTGAGGCTGCAGAGACGTATAAATGGATTTAGATTCAACCAACATTTATCACAAGCTTACTGGGCGACAGCCCTTGCTGGAGCTTATAAATACATTCTGTCTCAAGAACTCTGTGGCTCAGTGTAGTGAGATGAATAGTGACCTGCCCCCTCCCTCCAAAAATCTTTGCAGATGTGATTACGTTAAGGATCTTGGGATGAGATCATCCTGGATTATCCAGGTGAGCCCTAAGGCCAATGAGAAGTGTCCTTGTAAGAGTGAGGCAGAGGGAGAGTTGATACACAGAGAAGAGGAGGAGGCCTTGTGACCAACTAGGCAGAGAATGGAGTGATGCAGCCGCCAGCCCAGGAATGCCAGGAGCCACCAGAAGCTGGAAGAAGCAAGGAATGGATTCTCCCCTGGAACCTTTGGAGGAAGCATGGCTCTGCCAACACCTTGATTTTTGATTCTGGCCTCTAGAACTGTGAAAAATTAGATTTCTGTTGTTTTGAGCCACACAGCTGTGGTAATTTATTACAGGAGCCCTAGGAAACTAGTACACACAGGTAACCTCCATAAAGGTGATAACTAAGAATCTCTGATATCAGTGGGGTCAGTGGTCTCCTAATACTTATTTGTAATAGGGTCTCTTTTTCAAGTCCCACTTCTTCCTTTCTAATGGAAACCTGTTTTTTTTCTGAGCAGCCATCCTGCAAGCAACAGTGTACCTCAGAGAAAGCTGATCCCACTCCAGCTTCAGAGCACGTGTTCCTTTCTTGCAAAGGAACATATGGCCTCGCTCTGGCTGATGAGTTGTCAGGTAAAGTCTGATGAGCCTTTTGGGAAAATAGTCTTCCATCCTAATAGAGAAGCAGAAGGTGACACTCTTTTCTCCCACATGGTATCAGTGGATCATATGCGAAGCTCATAAGATTATAAGCAACCTTCTTCCTGGCTTGAGAGTGAAATCTGAGGATGGCAAAAGGGAAAGATTAAAAAAAAGAGTTACAACGATCTTGGTCCTTGTAGATTTCTTTAAAGCACTGAAGCCTATGTTACCTCTGGCCTTAATATGTGAGTTGACAAGTTTCCTTGTTTTTTTATGGCATTTGACTACAGATTCCTTTACAGGCTGCCAGAATCTTCTGGACTGGTTGAAGCCTCCTCAGTGGTCTCTTGTCTCCAGTTCTGCTGCAGCTGCTCTTCATGTCAGCCCCTGAAGTGACTTCAAGGATCATTAAGTCTCCAAATAATATAGCTTTAAACCAAGGATTGAGTACAACTCTTCTTTTAGAGATGTAGCAAGATGGAAAAGAACTTATTCTCTGGGTCCAGAGAACTGTGCAAATTATCCAACTGTATTTTGTAGGAATTTTAAAGACAATATGTTTTGTTTTACTCTGAGGATAGGACCAATCTCTGTATTCTATGACACACAATTTTTATTCAAGACAGACTATGTGCCAGGAATTGTGCAGAAACCATTTAATCTTCATAACAGCCCAATGATGCATTAGCCACTTTACATATGAGAAGATTTAGATTCAGAACTCAAGTGTCGTGTGCAAATTCACATGGCTGATAACTTGTGGGGATCAGATTGAGGTCCACATCTTTTAGATTCCTAAGGCTCCCTGGTTATTAATTGAATTAAACAAGGTCTGTCTTCTTCACTTTCACACCAAACTGATGCGATTTATCAAATGTTTGTCTTTTTTTGTGTATTACTTTAATGGAAAATATTTGAAATGAATTAAAAAGTTTTGATCAAGTTCAGTATTCTGCTGAAATAAATCAATGAAGACTAATTCAAAATCTAGTTTTGATGGTTATCTTAAAATACCACCCAATAAATTTTGAAAAAGGATATTTAACAAGGGGCAAGGTTGAATCCTAGAAAATTGCTTGGAATTGGTTCTGGGAATCTTATTTTTCTTGTCTGAAAAAGGGGAACCACCTATAGTGATTTCTTCCCAACATTGTTCTGAGGACCAAATGTGGTGGTGCGTGCAACAGTGCTTTGTAAATGATAATGGGAAGCACCACGTTAGGGGCTTTGAGTTCTTTTTCAATCTAGGACCAGTCAGGAGACAGAAACCACAAAAGTTATTTGAAGAGAGAGAACTGAATATAGAGACTTGTTAATTAGGTAACCAAAAGGGAAGAAGGGACACCCTACAGTATCACAGAGGTAGCAATTCCAGGGCTCAGGTATCAAAGGGAACAGGCTAGAATGACATATATTAAGATGTAGATATTTAGAAGAGGCGTCGTGGAGCTGAAACTCATACTTCTGAGGAAGTGACTGCTCCACCGGTGCTGGTGCATCTGAGGGACCCTCAATAAGCTGGTTCTGCGGTGTTGAAAAAAACTGCAAACTGGATTCAACTACTCCGAAGGGCAGGAATGAGCCACTGCCAGGGTGGAGGAGCCTTCAATGGGGATGCTCATGGGAATAGGAAGTAGACAGGAAGTTCATGGGGGAGCAAACAGGAAGAAGCAAGTCTCTTCTTCCTCCTCGAGCCTTACAGTCCTGCTCTACTGTCCCCTGTTGCCAGACTTAGCATGGAACATGCTGGCCAAGCAGAAATGTGGTTTGCAGTCCCAGCCCCAGTATCACAGAACCGAGTATTAGAAGTGTGGTGTGGAGCTAAGACCCAATAATTTAATAGTTGGCACCTGGTCCTCATTTCTAAGTCCTGTAAGATCCTTGAAAAGTCGCTATTGTCATTTCCATTTTATGTTGTAGAAAACTGTAGTTCAGACACAAACTTTCCTAGCATTCATCCAGAATGTTCCAGAACAGGATTATAATCCAATGTTGTTTGACTCTGAAAAATTCTCTGAGGGTTAGCGTCTGACTCATTTTACTTCATATTCAACTGTAATATTTAATAAATATTTACTACTCTTCTAGATGCCAAGCACTATTATATAGAATGGGGATATGGTAGTAAATGAATCCTCATCCTTCTCTTCCTGGAGTTATAATCTCTATGAAGCATTACAAACACATACACAGAGGCATACTATTTATGATATGGTTCTCACAATTTTCGTAACATTTTGAACGTATGTGTAAAAACAAAAGTTACAATATTTTACAAATGAGAGAAACCAGGAAGAGAATTTTAGAACAAAATATTAGCGGTCTGAATTCTGAATTTTCAACAGACTTCTAAATTATTTCCTCTATTCCTTTAGTGTAACTTTTTCTAGGTTGTTCAACACTTAACTTGCTTATATTTACTCTTTCTTGTTTTTTTTCCTCTGTAATTTGAAAGTACACATCTTTTTTTGGGGTCTGTTTGTTCTACTCTTGTAATGTTGGTTTCTAATTTAATTACTTTATGGCAAGAGATGGTGAAAAGTTTATCAATCCATTGAAAGTTGTTGAAACATTTTTGTGAGATTTGTGTGTGTTTGTTCAGTCATAATACTTCTGTTTTAATCTTTTACATTAAAACATACCATTAAATAATAAGGAGCAGCGTTGGGTTACAAATCCATGTATTCTAGCTCCAGAGACTATGCATTTAACCACTACTTTTCACTGCACATAATTTATGGCTTAGTTAGGATTAGAATTTGGGGTTGAAAGTTACTTTCCTTTGGCACCTTGAAGATATTATTCCATTTCCATCTGCATCAGTTTTCTTGCTGATGAGAAATTTGCTCTCAAACAGATTTCTTTGTAGGTGATCTGTTCCTTTTAGAAAGCTTCTAGGATTTTCTCCTTTTTCTTTATGTTTTAAAGTCTCTCTAGATATCTAAAATTTTTTGCTTAGAACTCAAAATATCATCTTCTAATGTGACAGTCTATGTCTTTTAAAAAAATCTTCTCTTCTGGAATATTTCTGGTTAATATCTCCTTTGTCAATGTCCATTATTTCCTTCATCTGGCACTATTCTTACATGGATGTTGGAGGTTCCCAATCTAGCCTCTGTGCTTCTTTCCAGGTCTTTCATTTCCTTTATCACTCTGCATTGCATTCTGGGTGTTTTCCTCAGTACTGT